CTGCCGGGTGGCCGCCGTCCCGGCGTGACCTTCACCGACCGGGGGGCCGCGCGGTGCTCCCGCCGCGGGGGTAAAACCGGGACCGGCGACGCTGTCCCAGACCCTCAGCCCTCTGTGACGTGGGGAGGTGGCAGGGCCCGGTGGGGAGGAGCCCAGGGGGCTCGGGAAGGGTCTGCGGGGGAGGGTCTTCTGAACTTGGCCGCTCGGGTCCTGCTCTCTGTTCTTACCTACGAGGCGAGGGATGAACCTTCCTGACCAGCAGGGTTCCCCCCAAGTGGTGCAAGGGGGACACAGTGGGGAGGAAGAGCCCCGGGAAATGCCAGAGGGGAGGATGAGGAGGGACGAAGGTCAAGAAGAGTGTGCTGGGGAGGGGGATGCAGCGGGAGAAGGCTTGGGTCTGAGGAGTGGCTAATGTTACTCGACAAGCCACCATGAAGGTTTAGGCGTGGTGGGACAGCCCTGCTCTCCTGAGAACCAGCACAACCCTGGGCACAGATCTGCAGGGAGCCAGGAGGGACCCACCCTCGAAGGGGACCCCCAGCGCCTGCTGTACAAGCGCTGGGTCTCCTACCTGCCCTGCCTCTTCCCTTTCAGCCCTGGAGGGAAGATTTACCCCCACCATGGCAGTTATCAGCCACAGGCTCTTGGAGAAAGTGGAAAGGGCCTCCTCCAGCTCCCCAGGGACCTCAGCAGAGGAGGAAAGAGATGCTGCACTTCTGCATCCTTGCAAAACAGTATGTCATAAACCAGCCATCTGCACACAGGCTGCTTCTCCCTCTCTGGATCCGAGCACACTGTGGATGAAACCTGTACCCTGTGCTTGCTGCCCCCCCCCCCCCCTTGCAGGAAGACCCTCCTGTGTTTCTCAGGAGCTGAAGAGCTGCTCCTGCAGCTCTGATTGCTGTGGTGGGTGCCAGGCATCCATTAGGAAAAAAAACACCCCGATTGCTGCAACTGTTTCTGCACCAAGAGAGGCAGCCGGGAAAGGTTTCAGGGAGAATGTCTCAGTGATGCATTTTAATACAGTGTTTTATGTGTGAAATGAACACGTGTCAGTGCCAGGATGTAACTGCTGCCGGATGGATCTGGGCTAACAGGCGGTGATGAATTATCAGCCGGGAGGAGCTAAGCCAGCCCCCCCGTTCCCTCCTGCACTGCTGGTGCTGGAGGTGCCTGCAATGAAAGCGCAGGCTCAGACAGGGTTTCAGACTTCCAGCCAGGCCTGGGGCTGATACACCACATCTAGGGACACGGCAGAAGCTGCGTCTTCTTTGCCATGGCAGGGAGGAGTGGCAAGGTCCCATTCATACAAATCCTCCACTGTGGCCAGCCACCTGCTGCTGTTTCCTTGCAGGAGGCTGCAGCGGGATCTGCAAAGAGCACGCACGTGTGCACACAGACCACCAGACACAGAGGTTTGCTTTGGGAAGGGTCAGAAACAAAGTGGATCTGGGCCAGTATCACCTACCCAAGGCCAGCTTAAGGCTGGGCTGGGGTAAACAGCAGGATTTGGTAAACAGGGGCAAATACAGAGGAAGAAAATCAGGACAAGGTTTTTGCTGAAGATGAAGTCAGCACCTTTGGATATACAGAGCTAGCTTCAACTCAGCTGAGAAGATGGAGGAGCCCTAAGGAGGAGATAGGAAGGAGCATATGGTCTTTGCTCTCTTTATGTGTTTGAGGATGGACTGATTTTCTGGTGCACAAACACAGTCTCTTTACAAACCCCACAGCTGAGTTTTTCAGGTGAGGAAGCAGAGAGCCTTCTGCATACTGCTTACTGGAGAAAAATTGCTCTCAGACTGCTTCATCAGAACCACATGAAGCCACCCCCTCACCCTGTGTGAACTCTCTCAAATTGGCTTCCCTGGACTCATTAAGAAGGGCTATTTGTATTTGGCAGTGATGAGCTGAGCTTTGCAGCCCTTTATATAGAGGACAGGGCCAGGAGGATGCCCTGCCTCCCCAGCTGGGCTTGCAGTTACCAGCATCAAGCAGCTCAGTGTGCATGCACCTCCTTCTGTTCCCAGGAGGGGAGATTTGGCTGAAGCCCGTTTAGAAATCCAGCCCAGGGCTGTTCAGTGATGCAGCTTGAAGCCTAGGCTATGACCAGCAGAGTTCCAGGGCCAGTTATTCTCTTCTTGCCTGCAGCTGCCTGTGTCCTGCTCCAGCAGCAGCTCTGGGATAGAGGAGGTCAGTGAGCCATAGTCCTTCCCCATGCCCGTGCTGCTGCTGGTGGCAAGAGCTTCCTGCAGGCACTAACTAGGGAGTTGGCCAAGCCCAATGAGAATAGCAGGATGTTTCTTATGCAGGTAAAGAAGCAGCTTTGCAGCTTACTTGGGAGGCAGCTGCTCTTCCATGTGAAAGAGGAGAATCTTTCCCTCTTCTTCAGTTTTACTGCTCAGGCTCCAGCCCTGAGGCTGGCAGCAATGATCCAGCGAAAGCTACGTCCTTGGGGCTATCTCTGCTTAGCTCTGCCTTTAGGTCTCAGTTGTAAATAGTCAGTTGGCAGGGAAAGGCTTGAAGCAGAAAGGGAAGGCAGCATTTCCCTTCCCCAGGGAACTGGGGTTCCCATCCCAGGCAGCTGGAATGACATGCCCTACAATGAGAGGGAAGAACAGAGTAGGGCTCCAGGCATAGTCGGTCTCAAAGCTGCTCTCAGGCCCTTGACCAAATCTTCAGCTCCTGGTGGAGTGGCCTTTCTGCAACACTGTTGGCATGGACAGGTCCCCTGCTACTAAGGGTCAGTCTGGCCAGGACTACACATACCTCAGCTACATGCTAGCACCATCAAAGGAATGGTTTCTTGTCCAGCTCTCTAACCTGGGCTGTGTAAAAGGGTATCCCTATCCTGAATTAGGAGTGTTCCAGATGGGCAGCTGTAGTGCTCCAGTACCCAGCACAGCTGGCTGGGCTCCATGGATGGAGACAGGCAGGGAGACAGCAGCATCAGGGGAAAGAAGCAGGAGTAAAATGAGGCAGTACTGTGCAAAGGCTCTAAAAGAGCTAATGGTGATCTGCCAGAATGACACAGTTCCCCGCAGGTGCCTGTCAGCCAGTCTCCCACTCTGCTCCACCTGAGCTGGGACTCCCACAGCACAGAGCTGTGCGGCTCTTCCTGTCCAGTGCAGGTGAGGATGTGGCTGTTTTGAAGCCCCTGCCAAACCTTACATCCTCTCCAAGCTGTCTCTGGAGATGCTTCCATGCTGGGGTTGTGGCTCAGGAATGCATAAGCTCCCAGCTTGGGTCAAGGCAGCTCCCCCAGCACCCCCAAGACATGAAAACACATTTTTAAGGGTCCTGGACCCCTCATGTCTGATCTCAGCTCCCCTCCAGGCTGCTGTGTTAGGGCACATGGGCTTTGTGAAGGATCCTGGCTAAAAGCAGCTGGCACATCCCCCTCCCTGCTCCAGAATGATGAATGAGCACGTTTGCTGGCTGGCTAGAACTGTTCTTTAATAGCTCACTTGCTGTGCCATAGTCTGTCTGCACTGGCAAAGACAGGCAGGGAAAAGGACTGGCTCCCTGGCAGCAGCTGGCCAGCCAGCTCCTGTGTCGTGCTGCTTTACCCCTGGAGACAGAGCTCTCAGTCTCAGTATATCTCACAGCAAGCAGGTCAGACAGCACTGGTGCTCCCCCTCCCAAGCCAGTACAGTAGGTGGGCAACCTCTGGCAGAGCTCACTGCCTAATGTGGGAGCCCTGGGGCTGTGAAGCCCCAGAGGACCTGGCTGGCAGGTTGTCTGCAGTGCTAGGGAGGAGAAACCTGCTTGTGCTTCTGAGTGCCCCAGCCCAGGGGTCTCTCCCATCTCCATCCCTGGTCGCATGCCCTCTTTCCCCTTCCCAGTTCTCAAGGGAGAGGGGCTACAGCTCTGGCTCTGTAGACACGAAAGCTGATCAGGGCTTACCCAGTGACACCTCAACCCCTGCCACCTAGTGTGGCTCAGGGTGAGGGTCAGTGTCTAGCTCTGATGGCTGGAGGAGCTTGTGCAGTCCCTGCTCCAAGGTTAGCCCTGGGTATGTGAGGCAGAGCACAGCTGAGTTGAGCAGCCCTGTTGCAGCCCCTGGAGAGAAGCTATTTTTGTCTTGCCGTTTGCCAAACGGCTGCGCTGTGAATGGTTTGGAGAGCAGGAGAAACACAGCTCCTCTCAGTGGAAACCACATGAGGCAGAGCCAGGCCTTGAATCGACATGGGAACACACCTCTGCTTCCTCA